AACGGTGTTTTTTCCCATCAAAAAGCAGTGTTTAATGAGCACACGAAATTCCTTTTTTTCCATTGTTATGAAAATAACCAAATTAGCGTCACTAAAGCTTCAATAACTCACACAATAATGATCCGAATGACATATACATTTGACAGTACGCCTAAAAGGGTCTGTTCTTTCGAACCACTATGTACTTTTTGTGTTAGTGGCGCTCTCTATGTGTCAGACCGGGGACTTATTGACCGATGTGTTACATGTCATAAGTCAATTCGAGGACTGTATTAGTATTCTAGGGCATTATTTAAGACAGTTTAAAATAAAAACGGACTATGAATATCCCCCCATGTTTAGCGTTTTACAGTTGGCAGCCTTAGCCTCGACATTCAGACGGCATAGAGACGGCAGAGATTCAGAGAGATGCTTGCAAATTGTACATCGTGCGTTTTTGCCGGACAAATTTTTAATATCACTTTGAGATATAGCTACGGTGGAGGGGATAGGAAGATGTTGGAGTATATGACGCGAACAAATCTATTTAACCTAACTATAGTTTGTGGCACACAGAACTATTGTTTATTGTACATCACATGGGCGCGTATAAAAACGTAAATAAAATCTTATTGTTTGTAGTTAAAAAGTTAATAAAACATCAAATTTCTACTGTATATGTAATCCTTATTGACTAATTCGTTGTCTTAGGTAATATTTTTAAACAAAGGTATATTTTTCTTGCAGCAACAGAGGCCCCAAATGGGTTCAATCGAGTCCGAATTTGCGGGTAGCGGAGAATACCGTCAGACTAGCAACGATCCAACTAACTGGCATAATCAGTCGTCGGATCCAGATCTCTCCGAAATTTTGGATCAAGTTATCGAGATTGTTCCGGATGAAGATATCACAAGTAAGTATAGCGAAATATTAAACGAGAATTTTTCAGCACATGATGAATGTCTCGTTCTGAGCTGATTATTCTCTATTTTTTTTATCAAAACGAAATTTTCTAATACAGAAAAAAAATATTTTTTTGTACATATGTGTGTCTGTCTGCGCATGTGTGCGTATATCTATGAATAATATTAGGTAATTTCGTTTTTTCTTATGAAAATGAAAGACGATTTTCAATCAGACGCGTTTCAAGTGATCATGAACGGTCGAATTCGATAAATTTAACCTCTCAGCGATCTCACGAGTTGTTATCCGCCGGTTTGCATCAATTAATGCCTTTATTGTGTCTTCATCAGCTTCAACTGGCCTTCCAGAACGTGGTGCATCTTCAATATCAAAATTGCCGGATCGAAATTTTGCAAACCAGTTTTGGCACTGGCGTTCTGTTAATACATCTCCATACACATCGGATAATGTTTTCTTGCTTGAACAGCATTTTTACCTTTTCGATAGTAAAAAAGTAAAATATGCCGAAAATGCTGCTTTTCACTTTCCATATTTGATAGGGCACCAACCAAAAACTACTGCGTAGAATCAATCGAACTTTTTTCACAAGCAAGCCTTGCTATATCAGCTGTCAAAATATATAATGATTATGCGGTTCAAGTGTGAAGTTGGCTGTGAAAAAATACAATAAGTCCTCTGTTGGGAAAAAACGAAATTACTTTCCGAACAACCTAATACAATTGTATAATATTACTCACAGAAAATTGATTGTTCCTGAAAAATCTAATAAATTTGTTTATAACAGGAACTCTTCTAGCTGATATTGAAGTGCCGGAGAATAATGTCATGAACGAAACAATGGCAATTAATGCTATTCAGAAGACATTGATGTTGTGCGAGACTGTTGTGAATTCGACATCCTCCAGTATAACTATGTCTGGCACGCCTCCAGCCTATTCGACTGCGGTAAGTTTTATCTTCTATTGTAAGTCATTTATTTTGGATTAATCTTATTCATTTTCTTAAAAGTATTTTTTAATGTATTATGTCGAATAATCGAATTCGAAGCCACCAAGCAATTAATCGATTTCTCAAAAAGCGTGACATTGATCATCATTAGTGCTCAAGCTTGAAACCTCTTTATTGGACAAGGTGACCAACGAATCTTGAATCTATGAAAACCAGGAATTGTCTAATATGCCATACCATTTGAATACGTGACAGTACACTGCCTGTCACTGATTCGAAGAGTTCTGCAGTAGCTCTAACTTATGGGCCTGATATTAATCACAAGATTGATAATTTGATGTAGAAAACTTTTGTTGTTGACCTTCTTGGTCCTGTGGATAAATCAGGCCGATGAAGTCAGAGCAACGTTTAATGTTAAACAAGGATTGGAGATCGATTGTGTATCTCCAAGGTGAAAATGACAAAAGTGAGCAAATTCATAATTTAATTGATCAATACCTAGTAACCGTTGCTCACTTTTGTAATTTTCACCTTTCAAAATTCACAATCGATCTCCAGATAATGAATCAGCTATATATGAATGAAGCAGCTATTGCTTCTCTCGGCACACGTCGTTTGAAGTGGGGATAAACAGCACCGCGATCCGGACTCTGTTGATTTATTATGAAAATTGAGTAATATTACCATTTCCAGCATAGTAGCCATTAAGATATGCGCAGATAATTCAGCAGGAAAAAAAAATTGTATTCCATAATCTGATAAAGCGTTGAATTTTGTTATAGTTGGGAACTACGCCTGTGACGACTGCCAGTCATAATTACCAGCCACCTCCTATGTATCAACAGCCCAGGATGAGGTTCAATCAGCCAAGCATTAGACAGCCCGGCCAGTTTACACAGTTGCAGATACAACAGCAACGTTCTAAGCTCATGCATCAACAGCAACAGCAGCAGCAACAACAACAGAAGCAACGATTACTGCAACAACAGCAGCAACAACAGTTGCTTATCCCATCGAATGCTACTGCGACGGATCAAATGAACAGTGGCATTAACATCGACAATCTTTTGAACAATACCGTTGCGCCGCCGAATGTGTCGTTGCAGGTATACAGTTTATCACGAAAGAAATAAAAAATTAGAAGAAAAATTAAAAATAAAAAATTACTAAAGAAATTTATTTCTCTTTTGACTTTTTATATAAAATAGTAATAACAAATGATATTAAAAATTTCATAGTCGAATTATACAAAGTATAATTATTCGCAATTTTTGATAGATTGTATTAACTCATTTCTAATAAAAATTGGTTACTATGTTTCATATCTAATTTCATAGTCGAATTATACAAAGTATAATTATTCGCAATTTTTAATAGATTGTATTAGTTTATTTCTAATATAAAAATTGGTTGCTATGTTTCGTATTTAAAAAAGATGCATAATAACCACATATGTGCAATGTCTTTTTTTTATTCAGCGATCGAATGGCCCAGATTCACAAGTTTCTCCAGGCTATGGGGCATCCGTCCAGATGGCTTCTCACCGACTCGCTCACTCGTATTCCCATCCATCGACGATACCGCAGCAGTAAGTATCCTGTTAAGCATCCCGGACTGTTTATTCCGCTTTAGTTTATTCCTTATAGCTTTCTTAAAACTCTTATCACGTGATTTTTTTTATTACAGCCACATTGTGAATAGTAATTTCAACAGTGGTCAACAAGTGTCCGCCGCGGCGAGGCTTTCGCCACATTCTCCGGCCGGTATACTGCCGGTGTCGTTTTCTCATCCGCCATTATCGCCACGAGTGGCACAAGTGAGTATGAAAGCATTATTATCGTTAGGAAGGAAGACTAAGGAGACTCCATTCAGTCTAATCAGTCCTCAAAACATGGTCGATTTTGCGTTTCGATTCTCGACATTCGCAGCGCTTGTGAAGTTTGTAGTTCTGCGCATGCAAATGAATGTGCCGTAGGAAAGTATCATGAACGTAACTTAATCCCTCCGTGAAGACGACTTTGTTACTCTTCATGGTTACATTGGTTATTGAGTCTCCGTTTTGAGGCCTTTGGAGGCTGGAACCTTGGGTTAAAAAAAAACGCAACCTGAAAGGAATTTAATTTCTTTTCTGTATTTCTCTTTACGTCCTTGTATCCTGTTTTGCAATCGGACACTACGCAACAAAATGGCATTGCAATTGTTTTCCTATTTGTCTTTAAACATTATATATACATTAAACATCCAGATTTGTGATTTCTTCAGAAATCGGAGATAAAAATGTTTAAACGTTAAATACGAAGCGCCTTACAATTCCGAGTGTTAAGATGTTGAACTAACATTCATTTAAATTAAATTAAATTTTTTCAGAAATAAATTGAGAGCCGATAAATTATCGGATTCACACAATCATTCTGATAATCCCCCCAAATTTTTCCCAAATCTTAAAAATTGTAATAAACTTATTGCGAAAAATATTGCCTCGGCCGGGAGTCGAACCCGGATCTCTTGCATTCCGTGCGAGCGTCCTAAGCCTTTAGACTACCGAGATCTCAGCAACACTCTTTGTAATAACTGATATGTGTAGTAAGTTACTCGTATAAAGGCGAGTATGATCAACAATCTGATTGGAAATGGAACTCAAATATTCAAACGTTAAATACGAAGCACCTTACAGTGTAAGATGTTGAGTTAGGAGTGTTAAGATGTTGAACTAATATTCATTTAAATTATATATTAATTTCTGAAAAAATAATTTAATTAAATTTAAATGAATGTTAGTTCAACATCTTAACACTCGGAACTGTAAGGCGCTTCGTATTTAACGTTTGAATATTTGGGTTCCATTTCCAATTAGATTATAAAAATGTTTCTTTCAGGAAGAAAGACCTTTCTTGACTTCTTCTTACAGTAATCTAATCTAACCACGGCGCACTCATTACGCGCAGGATTACAAAGTACTCAAGCGTTGCGAGGTGACGAGAATCGAAACTTAACTTGAAACGCAAAATCGGTCCACTTTTATTTAAAGTAAAGTTTTCTTAGTATCTTCCTTCCTGATCAGCTCAATAGAACGAAAACACTCGCATAAGCAGTTTCAATAAGCTTACTCGTTCTAGTTTCATTAAGTCATTATAGAGACTATAATTGCAGACCCATAGTGGACCAATCACAATAAAACAGCTTCATTGGTCCATTATCATAAGTAATCGATACTGTAGAATTGATAGTTCAATATGAGCTTTAGTTAGAATTAATTAAATCTTAATTCATTTGAAAAATAAAAATGTGGAAAAAAACTTAATCAATGTTTGTATGAATAATTTGCAAGTTAATGCAATGCTTAAAAATGAGCTTGAATCATACGTTCAATACGTTGAATTTCTATTTGCATTTTATAATACGGTATGCATATTGTTCTTTTCTTTGTTGTCTGCTTTTCATTTTTTATATTTAACGTATCTTTATTTCTGTGAATATTTTTATACGTTTGCACGATATATGCGCTAGGGCAATTACGGCAACACACCGAGATTATTCAACCAGGTGAACCAGGTGAGGCCACAGCAGGTCACGACGCAACAACAGTTACAGCAGCAACAACGATCGATGCCTTCGCCAGGGACGGCAGCTTCCGCCCGGCAATCTCCGTTTCCTGCTGAAGCGTTTCCTCCACCGACGTCGCCTACAGCCAGCCAGTTCCCGCCAGGTCCCAATACTGCACCAAATCCATCGGCTCAATATCGAATTCAACGGACCACATCTACTCCTTCTGCTACGACACAGTTGCCAGGTATGTATAGTTTTTGTACTGATCGATTGTCGATCGTTATAATCTCCCTTTAAGGCTAAAAGATAATTAGGATTATTACAATTAAAATAATTAGAATTGGTTTTGAAGAAAAAGAGAAAAGAAAAAGTTTTGCGATCGTGTAGGAAACATTGTTTTGAATTTACGACAGAGAGATGTTTGGGGATAATAAATATTAATTAGAAATATATACAAAATTTAAAATGTGTAATTGGTAATTAAATAGAAAATTACTTAAGTATTATTATTTCTTATTTCATTGTTTTGTTAGTTGCAATGAAATAATAGCAAATATGAGATTTTATATTATGCGATGTCCGAAAATACAATATGACGAATATTATATATTTAATTAATAAATAATAATAAAGCTCTGTAAGTATAAAACAATATATGCAAAAGAAGGGCAAAGAGCCAGTAATGTAGTAACAAATTTTAATTAAAATTCAATCATAAATTACAAAACGACAAAATAAACGTTTCGACTCCGCTCGAGTCAACATTTTCAATGTTGCGGTAATATTAAAACATCGCTATAAAAATCAATGATGTTACATTTTTCATATCGTGTAGTGCCTTGCGAGTCAGTTACATCAGAATTCAAAGCAGTCAGAAAAACATTCTAGAAACGTG